CCCCGCCTGCTCCCCCGGTACAGCCTCCCCCCCCTGGTCCAGCCCCGTCTGGTGTGTCTCAGGCTAGCCCTCCCCCTTCGGTAGCCCCCCCTGTACAGCCTCCCTCCCCACAGTCTTCCTCGCCGCCTCCTGCAGGTGCTCCCTCTCGGGAGGTTGGTCCTGCGACTGTCCCTGTACAGGTCTCTGGTTCTGGGGGTGCTGGAGTTGGAGCTGAGCCGCGGGTTGCAGAGGACTCTTGTCTTCCGGGGGCTGGTACTGGTCGTGCGGAGTCTGGGGGTGCTGGTGCGGAGTCTGGGGGTGCTGCGTCTGGGGGTGAGGGTGTCCCTTCGGTTTCTAGAGAGCCTGGGTCTGGAGCTGGTGTTGGTGCTGCCTCTGGGGGTGGTGTACTTGGTGCTTCGGAGGTCGACTCTGGGGCTGCCGCTGCCCCGGACACTACTCCTTCCCCCCACCCCTACCCGACCAGGTTCCAGGCTCGTGTTCGCCGTGCTCGTGAGGAGCAGCTGGAGTTGGAGAGAGAGGAGAGAGAGTTGCAGCGGCTCGAGGAGCAGGAGCGACAGCAGCAGGAGCAGCAGCAGGGGCAGCAGCCGCTGGAGCAGCAGCAGCCGCAGCAGCAGCAGCTGCCGTCTCCTCCTCCTGTCTCGGGTCTTCGGACCCTTGGTCTCCCCTCTCCCTCTCCTTCCTCCTCCCCCTCTCCTCCCGTCTCTGGTCCTCCGCTTCCTCCTCCTGACCCCTCTCCCGCTGTTTTCCCTCGTTCTCAGTCTTCGTTGTCTCCTCCTCCTTCTCAGACTTGGGCCTCTCGTCGCTCCCCTCGTGCTCGTCCCTCGTCTCCTGTTCCCTTCACTGACCTTCGTACAGCCTTCCTTTGTTCTCGTCCACCTCGTCCGTCTCCGTCTGTGCTTCCGTCTCCTCCTGAGTCGGCCCTCACTGTGTCGCTTCCTTCTCCTGTCACTGACTACTACCGCACGTACCGTCCTGTTCTCTCTCGTGTTCTCGCCTCTCTTGTTACCCACCCTCGTGCCTCTGTGTCCTCTGTGTCCGCTCTTACTGCCGCAGTCACTGAGTTTGCCTCTACCCGCCGCCTTGACTTCGCCACCGCTCTTGTGGCTGCTCCTCCTTCCAGTCCTCTGGCCGTCGGGGGTGTGTCTGCCCTTGGCTGTGACGCCCTAGAGGACAGGCAGTTTGAGCTAGAGTTCCTGGCGGCCGCTTCCCCTCATCTCTGTGCCATGCTCCTCGCCCCTGAGGGTGACCCCGACGCCCTTGACATTCCGACTCCTCGCACTTACGCTGAGGCAGTGTCAGGGCCTTGGGCCTCTCAGTGGAGAGCTGCCATGGACGCAGAGATGGCCTCCTACAGATCCACAGGCACCTACGTCGATGAGGTTCCCCCTCCGGGGGCGAACGTAGTCGACGGCATGTGGATCTACAGGGTGAAGCGGCCACCGGGATCTCCTCCGGTCTTCAAGGCGCGCTACGTGGCTAGAGGTTTCAGTCAGCGCGAGGGAGTTGACTTCTTTCAGACCTTCGCGCCCACCCCGAAGATGACCACTCTTCGGGTGTTACTACACGTAGCAGCACAGAGAGACTACGAGTTACACTCTCTCGACTTCTCTACTGCTTTCCTTCAGGGCAGTCTTCACGAGGAGGTCTGGTTGCGTCGTCCCTCTGCCTTCACTGGCTCTTTCCCTCCTGGGACCCAGTGGAGGCTGAGGCGACCGGTTTACGGTCTTCGTCAGGCTCCTCGTGAGTGGCACGACACCCTGCGTTCTACCCTGTCTGACCTTGGGTTCCAGCCGTCTTCTGCTGACCCGTCGCTGTTCGTTCGTCGTGGCCCCACACCTTTCTTTGTTCTGGTCTACGTTGACGACCTTGTTTTCGCCACCCCTGACAGGGTTGCTTTGGCACACGTGAAGTCCGAACTGCAGAAGAGACACACCTGCACTGATCTTGGTGAGCTGCGCCACTACCTTGGCCTGCAGATCACCAGGGACAGAGCTGCTCGCACCATTACACTTTCACAGTCGCACATGGTGCAGCAGGTCCTTCAGCGGTTCGGGCTTCAGCACTCCACAGTACAGCGCACACCTCTTGCTGTTGACCACAGACTCACTGGACCCTTTCCTGACGAGCCGTTCGAGCCTAGTGGTCCCTACGCAGAGCTTGTGGGTTGCCTCATGTACCTGATGACTTGTACTCGCCCGGACCTCGCCTTCCCTCTCAGCGTTCTTGCGCGCTTTGTTGCGCCAGGGAGACACCGTCCTGTTCACTGGACAGCAGCTGTGAGGGTGGCGAAGTACCTAGCGACGACGTCAGGCGTGGGGCTAGTTCTTGGAGGGCAGCAGTCTATCGTACTTACTGGTCACTGTGACTCCTCTTACGCTGACGACGCTGAGACTCACAGGTCTACTCAGGGGTACTGTTTCAGCCTGGGTTCTGGAGCTGTTTCCTGGCGGTCCACGCGCTCCTCTTCGGTCTCGACCTCTACAGCTGAGGCTGAGATCTACGCTGGTGCCATGGCGGCACAGGAGCTGCGTTGGTTGACCTTCTTGCTCACCGACCTTGGTGAGCGGCCGAGCTCTGCACCGACCTTGTTCACTGACAACAAGGCGTCTATTCTCCTTTGTCGAGAGCCACGACTGGAGAGCAGAGTGAAGCACATTCACGTCAGGTACTTTCTTCTGCGAGAGTTGCAGAGGCGTGGACAGGCTCGCTTTGAGTTTGTGGAGTCCGAGGCCAACACTGCAGACATCTTCACCAAGGCGCTTCCGCCTTGTGACCACCAGAGGTGCTGTGTGCAGTTAGGCCTTGTTGACACTGGTTCTCGTGTTGCTTAGACTTGAGTGTACTGTTTACTTTGCTTTCTATATATCTCTGTTACTTCTTGGACTGGCCTTGTGGCCACTGTTGTTTGTGCTCAGACTGTGTGGTGACGTTGTGATCCACCCTGAGCTTCGTTTCTTGGACTGGTCTTGTGACCGTACTCGTTTGGTTCTGCTAGACACCCCTCACTTAGGCTATGGGGGTGTGTCAAATGTTGTAGCCTATAGTGAGGTTTGTCTTAAGGGGTACAAAACTTAGGGTTAGCTATATGTACCCCAACCAACATCAATGCATCATCCATTCTTCATTTTGACACCCAGTACCATGTAAATGCGACACCTTACTTCCTGTCAAGCAACTCGCTCGATGACCCTCAGCTTGGCACTCCTGCTGCGTGCATTCACCCTCCACTCATCCTCCTCTGCCACCACCGGCCGCTTCGTCACCACCCGGTATCTCGCCTGCCCGTGCCCTTCCAAGTCTCTGCTGCTCCCTGCTCCCCCCACTGCTGATAAGAGCAGGCACAGGCACAGGCACAGGCATGGGTACTGGCACGGGCATAGGCACAGGCATGCCGGCGGCAGCTTCCAGGAAGCTTCGCTTCACGATGCGGTCTTCCAGGGAGTGGAAGGAGATGACGGCCAGCCGGCCGCCCGGCGCCAGCAGGGAGAGGGCGGCGGGGATGGCGAGCGCCAGCGCGGCAAGCTCGTCATTTACTGCGATGCGGAGAGCCTGGAAGGTGCGGGTGGCTGGGTGGATGCGCATACCGGGGCCACCACGGCGGGAGGAAGAGACTGGAAAGGGATGTGCAGGAGGGAGATGGGGAGAACTAGGAGGTGAAATGAGACAACGTGGAGAGGCTGGAAGGTGCGGGTGGCCGGGTGGATGCGAGTGACATGACCACCGCGACGGGAGGCAGAGACCGGAACGTGATTGAAGAAGTGTTTTGGGAAGTCTCAAAACACTTCTTCAATCACTTGGATGCACGCACCGGGACCCGCACCCGCACCGGGACCACCGGGACCACCGTCACGGGATGAAGAGGCTGGGAGGGGACATGCTAGCCAGGAAGGGACGTGCAAAGGCAGGGAAAAGATGAAGGCAGTAGATGAAATGGTGTGTGTATTGTGCAGTGCGTGGACTGGCAGATGCGGATGGCTGGGTGGATGCACGCCCTGAGCTACTGCAACAGGATGATGAGGGTGGGAGCGGCAGGGGTGGTTGTGCAGAGGCAGGAAGGGATGTGCAATGAGGTGCAAAACATGGATGTCCACCATCACAGCCGCTCCAGGCTGAACTCTGCCATCACAGCCGCTCCAGGCTGAACTCTGCCATCACAGCCGCTCCAGGCTGAACTCTGCCATCACAGCCGCTCCAGGCTGAACTCTGCCATCACAGCCGCTCCAGGCTGAACTCTGCCATCACAGCCGCTCCAGGTTGAACTCTGCCATCACAGCCGCTCCAGGCTGAACTCTGCCATCACAGCCGCTCCAGGCTGAACTCTGCCATCACAGCCGCTCCAGGCTGAACTCTGCCATCACAGCCGCTCCTCTGCAACACCCTTCAATGCATCAATGCATGCACCAATGCATGCACCAATGCATCAATGCAACACCCTTCAATGCATCAATGCATGCATCAATGCATGCACCAATCCATGCACCAACCCAGCCTACCTGTGCTTTTCTTATGCCCATATGCCCCTCCAGCCACAACAGCAGCCAGCTGGGTGGTGCTGCTGATGCGCCCTCTCCCCCGTGCCTCCACGATCCGCCGCGCAATCTGCCGCCACCACCGCTCCTCCCCCAGGTCTCTCAAGATCTCCCCTAGCAGCTCCTCTGGCCAATCGTTTACTGCCACCTCAGCGGTGAGGGGACTCTGGTGGGGGGGGAAGGGGGCATGGGTGATGCATGTGGAAGGGCAGGGGGGAAGAGCTGAGAAGGAAAGAGAAGAGAGGGAAGTGGGAGGCAGGAGCACTCACACACATGGATGTATTCACATGCGCATTCACATTTACATGCACATGCAGATTCACATACATATTCACACGCACATGCACATGCAGACACACATGTACAAACAGTCAACATTCATGCGCATGGCTCACCTGGGGGTCCATGCGCATGTCAAGAGGGCCATTTCATAGTCAATATGCATGCACATGCACATGATGTGTACACACGTCAAGATCCATGCGCAAATACATACCGATCTTGAGACATTCCAGCGAGCATGCATGCCAAGCCATGGCTCACCTGGGGGTCCATGCGCGCATGCAGGCATGCCATGCCATGCCTCACCTGGGGGTCCATGCGCATGCCATGGCTCACCGTGGGGTCCATGCGCATGCCATGGCTCACCGTGGGGTCCATGCGCATGCCATGGCTCACCGTGGGGTCCATGCGCATGCCATGGCTCACCGTGGGGTCCATGCGCATGCCATGGCTCACCGTGGGGTCCATGCGCATGCCATGGCTCACCGTGGGGTCCATGCGCATGCCATGGCTCACCGTGGGGTCCATGCGCATGCCATGGCTCACCGTGGGGTCCATGCGCATGCCATGGCTCACCGTGGGGTCCATGCGCATGCCATGGCTCACCGTGGGGTCCATGCGCATGCCATGGCTCACCGTGGGGTCCATGCGCATGCCATGGCTCACCGTGGGGTCCATGCGCATGCCATGGCTCACCGTGGGGTCCATGCGCATGCCATGGCTCACCGTGGGGTCCATGCGCATGCCATGGCTCACCGTGGGGTCCATGCGCATGTCCAGAGGCCCATCCCTCAGAAAGCTGAAGCCTCTCTCTGCCCTGTCGATCTGTGGGCCAGGGAGAGAGAAGGCAGCGCAGAGCAGAGAGGAGAGTATAGCTGAGGAGAGACAGAGGGGTGGAAGAAGAAGATGGGTGGGTGGGGAGCGGCAAGGCAAGTGGGGAGGACCCGTGTCAAAGACACACGCCCGTCTCAAATGCGACCTGCCTCAGCTGCGACCTGCCTCAGCTGCGACCTGCCTCGATGCCGCCCCCTCCTGGCCCAGATACTACACAGAGCAACCATCACCTACCTGCCGCAGATACCACCTGCACCCAACCAGCCTTCACCTGCATGGAGGAGACCCCCACGTCCAGCAGAATGCCGTCCACACTGCCACGCCCCACCCCCACACCCGCACACGCCTCCACCATCCGCCGAAAATTCCCCTCCACCACATGCAGCGTCGCTTGGGGCCCACTCTCCTCCGCCACGCGCAATGTCGCTGCCGGTGTCTCTACCACTCGCAGCGTGGTTTGCCCGTGCGTCTCAAGCTGCCCGCGCTCCTCTGCTTGCGCCTCTGCCTGGCCATAGGCATGGGCGTCATGCGGACTCCCTGCCTGTGCGGCTGCAGGGGCTGCCTGTGCGCCTGGAGGGACAGCGACGCGCAGGAAGGGATGCAGGCGGGAAGCAGCGATGGCGTGTGCTGAGGGATCCACGTCCATGCCCACCACCGCTTCTAGCTCTGGATGATGCCGGGCTAGCTGCTCATGCACACGCACACGCACACGCACGTGCACAGGCGCGCACACATGGGTAAGTTGGTGTAACGAGGCGCCAAGAGGGCGGCAGCAGTGGTGCGTGCTGAGGGGTCACGTCCATTCCCTCCGCTGTTTGCAGCTCTGGGTGGTGCCGGGCCAACTGCGGGTGAGAAGGGTGAGGAGGGGAGGGGAGAAAGCAGGGGCATGGGAGTGAATGGGAGCAGGCAAGAGCAAGCAACATGAGATGGCGTGTGCTGAGGGGTTCGCGTCCATTCCCACCGCTCCCTGTATCTCTGGATGGTGCGGTGCTGACATAACTGCACTTGATGCACACATGGGAAGGAGGTCGCCGGGAACGAGTGAGGAGTCAAGGAGAAGGGAGAAAGGGGTGAGAAAGGATGGAAAAGGGTGAGACGGGGTAAGAAGGTGTGAAAGGGGAGGACATGGCTTCTCACTCACACCTGAGGCACGGACCACCTTCCCTCAGTCCACCTGCCCTGGTCCCACCTACCCTCAGTGGCACACCCAGCACTCTCAGCAAGCGTGTGACCCGCTCCCAGTGTGCCGTCCGTCAGTGTAATCAACCTCACCCCCTTTGTGAGACGTCTCATATATCAACCAATATAGTCACACCCGTTACAGCCACACTCGTCACAGTCACACTCAGCACTCACAGCGAGCGTGTGACCGCCAGCCCCCAGTGTGCCGTCCACCAGTGTTGTCAACCGCACCCCCTCAAACGCCCCCACCACCTCCCGAACCAGCACCGGCACGTGCGGCCACTCCCCCCCTCCTCCACTCCCCTCCGCCCCCCCTCTCGCCTCCGCCTCTCCCTTCGCCTCCGCCTCTCCCCCCGCCTCAGCCCCTTCCGCCTCCGCCCCTCCGCCCACCCACCTCTCCGCCTCTGCATAGCTCACCCCCCTCCGCAGCCTCTCTCCGCTGCTCGCCTCCGCCCCTTCCCGCGCCCGCTCCTTCTCACCCTCCCTCCGCCTCCTCCTCTTCTTCCGCCCTCCCTTCTCCTCCCCTCCCCCGCTCTCTTCCCCCTCGCTGCTACCACCGCCGCCTTTATCCATCTTGTCTTCCTCACCTGCGTCCATAACGGCCCTTCCCCGCCTTTCCCCTCCTTCATCCCCCTCTTCCCCGTCCCCCTCTTCTTCCCCCTCTTCCTCTCCCTCCTTCGCCATTCCGCTGTATCTCCTCCCGCGAGCAACAACAACCCCCGCCTCACCCCCCCCCTCCGCCCGCGCTACCAGGGAAAGCGCAGCACGCGACTGCAGCCCCGCCAGCTGCGCGCCAATGCGCCCCGCGCCTCCCCTTGGCGCGCCAAGGGGCCGCAACGCCTCCCCTCGGGGCTGCGCACGGGAATGCGCGGAAGGCTTGCTGGTCCAGACACCCGCGGAGGGGGAGGCGGAAAGGCAGGGGGAGAGTCGTTGGGCGGCGCAGGCGGATGGGCAGAGAAAAGCGCGGGCTTTGGCGCAGAGAGAGGTGCGGGAGGATATCAACGTGAAGAAACTAGCGGGGATGAGCGAGTTTCCGTCGCTGTTTCTGCTGACTTGGCTGACCCTGTTGGTTCCGTTGACTCCGTTGACTCTGCTAACGCTGTTGTCTCTGTTGACTCCGTTGACTGTCGCTGCGACGGATTGTCGGACTGGAGGAGTGAGCCACGGCCCGAGGCGGGCCCGAGGCGACGCGAGCGAGTGTGACAATGGCGAGGGGAGCGGAATGCGATCCATGGCGCAGGCCCAGCTGGCGAAGTTGCGCATATAGAAAGCGTTCTTGTTCCGGCGGGCGTCTACTTAGAATTCTCGAAGAATGCGATCCATAGCGCGCGACTCGGTCCGTTCTAAGGCGGTGGCGCAAAACGAATTCCAAATTCGGGCCCGTGTTGCGAGCCTGTTTAGCAAACGCGGTGTTGCGAGCCTGTTTAGCAAACGCGGTGTTGCGAGCCTGTTTAGCAAAGGCCTTGCGCCCGGAGGAAGTGAAAGGCGCTGCGCAATGCGGTGCGGTTGTATCTTACTGTGATTGTCTGCGTCGTTCTGGTTCGACGACTATGGCGCCTTCTTCTTGTGGTGCACCCGCTTACTAGCATCTTCAAGTCAACCCCGAAACCCTGGCGATCAGAAAAAAAAACTTCTGAAATAAAAAACAGTTATATGGACAATATGTTGCAGTCATGAGAGAATGTAAAAGAACTAATGGTTGCCATATAGCTTCGGTGGTCAACTTTATAAAGGGGAGTTCTTACCCAATATGCGCAAGCCAGCCGCCGTCACCTCACCTCATCCGCCTCCGTTTCCCCACCCCTTCTACGAGCCGCGCAATCCCCTACTTACCGCTCCGGACCAACGCGCGCCCATACGGCGCAGGTGGCGCGTACTGAGGTGACTTTTGAGTCGACTCAAAAGCCATACGGCGCAGGTGGCGCGTACTGAGGTGACTTTTGAGTCGACTCAAAAGCCATACGGCGCAGGTGGCGCGTACTCCATTCCGCGCCCATACGGCTCAGGTGGCGCGTACTCCATTCCGCGGTCACCTTCCCGTCGTCCTCATCGCTCTTGTGGCTCTCGTCGCTGTTGTCGCCTGTCATCACACTCGTCGCACGCAGCTGCCCGCGCACTCTCACAGTATCAACGTTCTTCGCGGAAGGCGGGGTGAATTGAGTAGCCATGACGTAACCTCCGATAACTTTTAACGCGCCTCAAGAGGCGCTTCGGAGGAGGAGAAGAAAGGAGATGGAGGAGGTGGCGGAGGATCCGCGCAGCGCAGCGGAAGGCGCGGAAGGGGTGGGGATGCTGCGCGATGCGCGCAAGCCGCCGAAATCGTGGTCGGAGTTCGAACCGCCGACGGCGCGGTGGACGAATCCGTTCGTGGTGCGCGTGGGGCAGGTGTTCACGGGATTCGGCGTGGGATGCGGCGTGGGTATCGGCGTCGGGCGGCCCGTGAACCTGGGTAAGCGCATTGGGATGGCGGATTGGGGTAGGGCGCATTGGGGTAGGGCGCATTGGGGTAGGGCGCACTGGGGTAGGGCGCATTGGGGTAGGGCGCTCTGGGGTAGGGCGCATTGAGGTGGGGCGCATTGGGGTGGGTCTCTGCTCTCTCCTCTGCTCCCCATTAAGCTTCCTGCCAGCAGCAGCAGCTGCACCGTTGCGTCTCCTGGTGGGATTTTCCAACCGACTCACAGTGTCATTTGAGTCGCCTCAAATTGCATCTTTTCCCCTTTGAGTCGCCTAAAAGGCAGCTCTTTTTTCCTTTTGTTTTCTCTGCCCTCTCAGCCCTCTCTGCCCTTGTTGCCCTCTCTGCACTCTCTCCCACCACCAGGCGCGTTGCCAGCAGCAGGGGCAGTGGCATCAATGGCGGGTGATTTTAACCGACTCGCTGCGGGTGCTGCTGCTCCCCTCCGCCCTCTGGTCAGTGTCCCTCCGCCTCTGCTCAGCTCCCCTCCCCTCCGCTCTTGATCACTCCGCCATCACCTCTCTACCCTCTCTCACCTCTCTCCCTTCTTTCCCCTCACTCTCATCCGCCCCTCACTCTCATCCGCCCCTCACTCTCATCCGCCCCTCACTCTCATCCGCCCCTCACTCTCATCCGCCCCTCACTCTCATTCACCAATCTATCCCTCTCGCCTGTCCCGTCCTTCCCTTGGTGGGACTGCCGGATGTGGATGTGGATGTGGATGTGGATGTGGATGTGGATGTGGATGTGGATGTGGATGTGGATGTGGATGTGGGTGTGGGTGTGGGTGTGGGTGTGGGTGTGGGTGTGGGTGTGGGTGTGGGTGTGGGTGTGGATGCGGATGTGGATGGGGGTGTGGGATGCGAGTGGGCTAACCACTCCCCTCTCTCCCCTCTCTCCCCTCTCTCCCCTCTCTCCCCTCTCTCCCCTCTCTCCCCTCTCTCCCCTCTCTCCCCTCTCTCCCCTCTCTCCCCTCTCTCCCCTCTCTCCCCTCTCTCCCCGCTCCCTTCCCCCGCCTCCTGCAGCTGAGGCGTATGGGAGTGCCGCACGTGGATGTGGGTGTGGGGTGCGGAGTGGGGTTCGGCCATGGCTTTGGAGCCGGTGTTGCCCTCAAGCCACAAGCTCTGGCTTCTCTGCTGCAGTCTGCACAGGTACAGCACGGCCGCTGCTGTCGCATGGCATGGTGTGGCATGGCATGGTGTGGCACGCTGTGGCATGGTCGCTCATGGCAAGCATTGGTGTTGGTGTTGCTCCCAAGCCACAAGTGCGCACGTCTCTGCTGCACTCCACACGCAATGCTCTGGTTCCGTTGCACCAGAGCTGCTGTCTGTCTGTGCTTCCCTGAAGCAGGCCGCTTGGGTAAAACGGGATGCACTCGTTCCGTTCAATCAAGGCTGTCATGGCATTTATCTCCGTGCTCCCCACAAGTCCTGCTGCTCTCAGCCCACAAGTCCTGCTGCTCTCAGCCCACAAGTCCTGCTGCTCTCAGCCCACAAGTCCTGCTGCTCTCAGCCCACAAGTCCTGCTGCTCTCAGCCCACAAGTCCTGCTGCTCTCAGCCCACAAGTCCTGCTGCTCTCAGCCCACAAGTCCTGCTGCTCTCAGCCCACAAGTCCTGCTGCTCTCAGCCCACAAGTCCTGCTGCTCTCAGCCCACAAGTCCTGCTGCTCTCAGGCCACAAGTCCTGCTGCTCTCAGCCCACAAGTTCTGCTGCTCTCAGGCCACAAGTCCTGGTATCCGTGCTCTCAGGCCACAAGTCCTGGTATCCGTGCTCTCAGGCCACAAGTCCTGGTATCCGTGCTCTCAGGCCACAAGTCCTGGTATCCGTGCTCTCAGGCCACAAGTCCTGGTATCCGTGCTCTCAGGCCACAAGTCCTGGTATCCGTGCTCTCAGGCCACAAGTCCTGGTATCCGTGCTCTCAGGCCACAAGTCCTGGTATCCGTGCTCTCAGGCCACAAGTCCTGGTATCCGTGCTCTCAGGCCACAAGTCCTGGTATCCGTGCTCTCAGGCCACAAGTCCTGGTATCCGTGCTCTCAGGCCACAAGTCCTGGTATCCGTGCTCTCAGGCCACAAGTCCTGGTATCCGTGCTCTCAGGCCACAAGTCCTGGTATCCGTGCTCTCAGGCCACAAGTCCTGGTATCCGTGCTCTCAGGCCACAAGTCCTGGTATCCGTGCTCTCAGGCCACAAGTCCTGGTATCCGTGCTCTCAGGCCACAAGTCCTGGTATCCGTGCTCTCAGGCCACAAGTCCTGGTATCCGTGCTCTCAGGCCACAAGTCCTGGTATCCGTGCTCTCAGGCCACAAGTCCTGGTATCCGTGCTCTCAGGCCACAAGTCCTGGTATCCGTGCTCTCAGGCCACAAGTCCTGGTATCCGTGCTCTCAGGCCACAAGTCCTGGTATCCGTGCTCTCAGGCCACAAGTCCTGGTATCCGTGCTCTCAGGCCACAAGTCCTGGTATCCGTGCTCTCAGGCCACAAGTCCTGGTATCCGTGCTCTCAGGCCACAAGTCCTGGTATCCGTGCTCTCAGGCCACAAGTCCTGGTATCCGTGCTCTCAGGCCACAAGTCCTGGTATCCGTGCTCTCAGGCCACAAGTCCTGGTATCCGTGCTCTCAGGCCACAAGTCCTGGTATCCGTGCTCTCAGGCCATCAAGTATCCGTGCTCCAGTCTGCACCGGTATGGCAGGGCAGGTGCTGTCGCATGGTCGGATGGAATGTACGCTGTGACTTGGTGTGGCTTGGTGTGCAACGGTGTGGCATGGTGTGCAATGCTGTGGCATGGTGTATGCACGCAATCATGCATGAGGAATTTCATCGACTGAGCGGAAGTTTTTATATAACAATATCGGAAGAAAAACCAAATAAAATCCGTCTTTCTCCATTTTGTGCACTGTATTGTCTCACCTGAGACAAGTAAAATGAGGGAGATTTCTGTATCAGCATTTCTGCTTTGCATAATGCAACACCCAGCATCTCCTCTGTGCTCTTCCGCAGGCCGTGGCATCTCGCCTCATCTCACACATCCCTCAAGAGCATCGCTCTCATGCCACCGCAGCACTTAGCAGCTCCATACCAGCTCTCAGCAGCTCTATTCCAGCACTTAATGGTGCAGCAGAGAGGACAAGGGAGGGTCACAATATAGCTGTCAATGTGGTGGGGTCAGAACGAGTTGCATCAGAAAGCTATCCCGGTGCCTTAAGAACCGACTCCGGCCCTTCAGGGACTTACGTTGGTGCCTTAGGAGCCAGCTCTAATTTTCCTTTTGCTGCTGCGAATCGCGCTGGCGGCACCGGCAATTCTGGTCCTGCTGGTGCCTACTTGCCTGATGTAAGTCTGAGCAGCTTGGCGTGAGCTTCATGCAATGTACATCAGCTTCACATCAAGTAGTAAATGTGTTCACCGCTTTCGTTCCCTGTTTATTGTCTTCATTTCCATCTCCATACAACCTTGTAACGAGGTGACCTTTGGGTTGACTCAATTTTCAGTCTCCTATCAGGTTGTCAATGCCGTTATGGTCCCCATCTTCATCTCCATATTGTCACATTCTCTGTGTCACTGTTTCCTGTCTGCTTCCCAGTTTGGTAGCTCACTTGATGACTTTGAGCTCATCTTGCTGTCTTGTTTGTTTGTCCGTGTTTGATTTCCACAAGTTCCACAGTTGTAGCACTTCCAGTATTTCAATCCTCCCACGTCATTCTTCTGATTAACACCCTGCCACGTGGCCCATCCACTCGCACTGCCCTCCCATGTGGCTCATCTAATCACCGCCCTCTCGTGTTTTTGCTTGCAGGTGGATCAAGTCAAGGCACAGAACCTCATCATGCTATCTGTAAGCACACGTGCAACACAACATTCATCCCAAATGCCTGTGTTTATCGCAACTCCAAAGCTCAACTGGGCTTTCATAAGAGGAGAGGCATCTAAAGTGTTCATGCAACCGTCGTGCTCCTTCCCTCTCATGTCAAATCTCATGTTCTTGTCATGCCTTACTTCTCATGCCATCAGACACCCATTTCTCATGGTATTTGTACCCATTCTCATGCCCCAATCATTACAGATCCTGGAGCAGCAGGCTGACATTCGTCGTCTCACCCAGCAGGTGCAAGCTCTGCAGGAGCAGCAGCACCAAGAGGTCGACAGGACCCGTTGCTTTGACTGCCGACAAAAGTCTAGGCGGAGAACAAAAAGTGGCAAATGAACCAATTTTGTTAGACACTAGCATGTAGCTGTGGATCGCTTTGGAGAGAGCGGAGACCATTTTGGGATTGTTGGCATTGTTAGGAAACAGCCATGACAGCCAGTTTGGGAACTGCTTGTTAAATTGTAATGTGTTATATGTTGGTAGGCTGTAGTGGGGTAGCCAATATGGGGTACAACCCAAACTAGGGTTTCCTATTTGTACCCTTGCTTCTTTCAATCCAACCATTCTTGCCTAGTTCTATTAACATGGTATTCAGAGCAGGAGGTCCCTAGGACCTACCGACCGTTTTTTTTTTAAGGGCCCACCACCGCTCGCATGCGGTTACCATGCTACCCCGTGCCCTAGCCTCGTAGCGCCCTCGTGCGCCCTCGTTAGCGCCCTCGTGCGCCCTCGTTAGTGCCCTCGCGCGCCCTCGTTAGCGCCCTCGTGCGCCCTCGTTAGCGCCCTCGTGCGCCTCTCGTTAGCGCCCTCGCGCGCCCTCGCTAGCGCCCTCGCGCGCCCTTGTTAGCGCCCTCGTGCGCCTCTCGTTAGCGCCCTCGCGCGCCCCTCGCAGCGTCGCCCGCCCGCCGAGCCGCCCGCTCGCAGCGTCGCCCGCCCGCCCGCTGCCCGCTTCGCAGCGTCGCCCGCCCGCCGCGCTGCCCGCTCGCAGCGTCGCCCGCCCGCCTCGCTGCCCGCTTGCAGCGTCGCCCGCCCGCCCGCTGCCCGCTTCGCAGCCCGCCCGCCCGCTTCGCAGCCCGCTCGCTCGCTGCCCGCTCGCAGCGTCGCCCGCCCGCCCGCTGCCCGCTTGCAGCGTCGCCCGCCCGCCCGCCTCGCTGCCCGCTTGCAGCGTCGCCCGCCCGCCCGCTGCCCGCTTCGCAGCCCGCCCGCCGCGCTGCCCGCTCGCAGCGTCGCCCGCCCGCCCGCTGCCCGCTTGCAGCGTCGCCCGCCCGCCCGCTGCCCGCTTCGCAGCCCGCCCGCCGCGCTGCCCGCTCGCCGCGTCGCCCGCCCGCCCCGCAGCCCGATTCGCAGCCCGCCCGCCGCACTTCCCGCCTGCAGCGCCGCCTGCCCACCGCGCTGCCCGCTTCGTAGCCCGCCCCCCGCACTGCCCGCTCGCCGCGTCGCCCGCCCGCCGCGCTTCCCGCCGAGCTACCTACCTGCAGCGCTGCGGCAGCTTCCTTTGCTCAGTCGCACTGTCGCTATGGCTTCCATCCGCGTGCTGTCGTTCGATGCTGAGGGCCGCCCTGTGAAGTTCGCCACTTGGCTGGATGACCTGCAGCTGTTCCTTCTGAGCGATAGCAAGGAGCATGTGTCGCTCTATGATTACGCGTCTGGTGCTGCACCTGCCCCTCCTGCCACAGCTGAGCTTAGTGTTCGTTCCCACTGGCAGACTCGTGACGCAGCTGCTCGCCTAGCCATTCGCAGTCACCTGCCGCTAGCTGAGCTCGAGCATTTTGGCGACTGCAAATCCGCTAAGGCCCTGTACGATGCTGTCGTTGCTCGCTACTCCTCGCCTGCCACAGCCGAGCTTAGCCGCCTCATGCTGCCGTACCTGTTCCCTGAGCTGTCCACCTTTGCTACAGTCGCCGATCTTATCACCCACCTTCGCACTAGTGATGCTCGCCTGCGTGCCGCCCTTCCCACCGAGTTCTGCGCTAAGAACCCCCCTCCACTGTACTGGACACTCCACTTCATAGTCACCCGTCTCCCTGACACCCTCAGCTCAGTTCGAGACCACTTCCTTGCTCGCTGTCCCACTGAGCTCACAGTCGCCCTCCTAGAGGAGCAGCTGCTAGCGGCCGAAAAGAGCATTGTAGCTGTCGGTGCTGCTCGTGGCGCTCCTCGCACCCCCATCTTTGAGGGGTGTTCTCCCTCTCCCCTCGCTCCCTCCTACGCTACTGCTGCTGCTGTTGACTTCCTTGGTGCTGAGTCTGTTGGCGCTGCTTCTGCTCCTGGTGGGAGGCGCCGCACCGGCAAGGGCAAGGGGGGCAAGGGTGGCGGGGGTGGCGCTGGGGGGGGAGGAGGTGGGGGAGGTGGGGGGGGAGGCGGTGCTGGAGGGAGCGGTGGCGGGAGCGCTGGTGGGAGTGGGGTCGGCGGTGGAGGCGGGGGCGGCGGAGGAAGCAGTGGCAGTAGTGGCGGCGGCGGCGGTGGCGGCGGTGGCGGTGGTGGCGGTGGTGGCGGTGGCGGTCGGAGCGGTGGTAGTGGTGGCGGCGGAGGTCGGAGTGGAGGCACTGGCTCGGGCCAGAGCTCCCAGCAGCAGCAGCGTCCCCAGACGACCCAGCAACTTCGTGAGTGGCTTGCTCAGCGTGGGACGTCGGGGGGCAGTGGCCGCTGTTCCTATGTCATTCGCACAGGTGACCGCAAGGGACAGACGTGTGGGAGGTTCCACACCCCGTACCGCTGCTTCTCCCGCCTTGACGACGCTTGGCGTGAGGAGATGGGCGAGGATGTTGAGCGCCCCCGCTGGGCTGAGCTCATGAGGGCTGGTGTTGATATCTTTGCTCTTGACTATGATGCTATTATTGCTGCCATGTATGCATTGACTGTTAGTGCCGAGGGAGACTGTTACTTGTGTGTGCCGCCTGACCCAGGTATAGAGCCCGCTGCCCTGGGTACTAGTGAGTCTGCTCTCTCTGGTATGGTGCCCCCTGTACTTGCTCCCTCCAGTGCTGTCCCGGCTGTTTGCGAGTCTGCTCTCTCAGGTACAGCACCCACAGAGACTGCTCTCTCAGGTACCGCACCGGCTGAGGCCTGTCACACCTTCACCCTTGACTCAGGTGCTTCCCGCTGTTTCTTTCGTGACAGTACTGAGCTCACACCGCTTCCTGCACCGGTCCCAGTCTCCTTGGCTGACCCCTCTAGGGGCCCAGTCCTTGCCCAGTCCACCACTGTGCTCCCTTGTCCGGCGGTTCCGTCTGGCTCGTTGTCGGGTTTCCACCTCCCCTCGTTCTCGACGAACCTGGTGAGCAACGCTGTCATCCAGGATCAGTGGGTTGACACCTTTACCCCTGGAGGACAGCGTGTGGCGATCTGCACGTGCTCCAGGACCGGCCGTCACCTGGCTACGTTTACCCGTCGGCCGGGGTCGAGTCTCTACACACTGACCACTGCGTCTCCTCAGGTCGCTGCTGTCGGTCAGGTGTCCGCGTCAGGTCTGGTGGCCCACGCCTGTGAGTGTCGTTCCCTGTCGCACCAGACTCTTCTCTGGCACCACCGCCTGGGTCACCCCTCCTTGCCACGCCTCCGTGGCATGCACCGTCGCCGCCTTGTGTCTGGTCTTCCCAGGTCCCTCCCTCCCCTCCCTGCCTCGCCTGCGCCGCCTTGCCTTCCTTGCGTCGAGGGGCGGCAGCGCGCCGCTCCTCACTCCTCCTCGTTCCCCCCGACAGAGGCTCCTCTGCAGACCCTCCACCTGGACGTGTGGGGCCCAGCCCGCGTTCGTGGCCAGGGCGGTGAGCGGTACTTCCTGCTGGTCGTCGACGACTACTCGCGTTACACCACGGTCTTCCCCTTGCGCACCAAGGGTGAGGTCCCTGCTGTTCTGATCCCTTGGATCTGCACAGTTCGTCTCCAGCTCCGCCGCCATTTCCGGACGGATCTTCCTGTCCTGCGTCTGCACTCTGACAGAGGTGGTGAGTTTTCCTCCGATCTCTTGAGGACCTTCTGTCAGGCGGAGGGCATCGAGCAGACCTTCACGCTTCCGGACTCCCCACAGCAGAATGGGGTTGCTGAGCGCCGCATTGGCCTGGTCATGGAGGTCGCTCGTACCTCCTTGGTCCACGCGGCGGCTCCCCATTTTCTGTGGCCGTTTGCTGTCCGGTACGCCGCGCATCAGCTCAACCTCTGGCCCCGTGTCTCCTTGCCGGAGACCTCGCCCACACTGCGTTGGACGGGGGAGGTTGGCGATGCGTCGCGCTTCCGGGTGTGGGGTGCTCGTGCCCTTGTCCGCGATACGTCCGCGGACAAGCTCTCCTCCCGCAGCCTTCCCTGTGTCTTCCTTGGCTTTGTCCCTGACGCGCCGGGCTGGCAGTTTTACCACCCCACCTCGCGCCGGGTCTTCGCCTCTCAGGATGTCACCTTTGACGAGTCGGTCCCTTTTTACCGTCTCTTCCCCTACCGCACTGCCCCCCTCCCTCCCCCGCCGCTTTTCCTTGCTCCTGGTCCCCCTCCGGTAGACCCCCTTCCCCCTCAGGGTCCTGCTCCTTCAGGTGTCTCTCAGGTAGACCCTCCTCCCGTCGCTGAGCCTGTCGAGGTCACAGGTGACTCAGGTGCTGCTGCAGGTGGTGCTGCTGGGAGTGCTGAGCCTGGGGGTGCTGAGCCTGCGGGTGCTGGGCCTGGGAGTGCTGGGACTGCGGGTACTGGAGCTGGGGGTGCTGAGCCTGGGGGTGCTACGACTGGGGGTGCTGAGCCTGCGTGTACGGAGTCTGGGGGTGCTGAGCCTGGGGGTGCTGCGCCTGAGGGTACGGAGTCTGGAGGTGCTGCTGATGAGTCTACGGAGCCTGGGGTTGCTGCGTCTGGGGGTGCTCTTCCTGGCGGTACTGGAGCTGCTGGAGCTGACGACGCTGGAGCTGACGGTTCTGGACACGGTGGTCCTGCTGGTTCTGGAGGTGCTGGCGAGGGGAGGTCTGCCGCTGCTGGGGCCTCTGGTGCTGACGTCGCCGACTCGGGGGGTGCTGCGGCGGAGGGTGCTGGTCCAGGTGCTTCTGGTGCTCCGGGTGCTGGAGGTGCTGGCGGAGCTCCGCCGTCGCGCCTGTTCTTCGCTCCTCCGTCGCCGTCGGCTTTGCCGCCGCCTGACACGGTGCTTCGCCAGGTTCTTTCCCTCCCGTCTTCCACTGGCCTTCCCCTTCAGCCTGGCTCCCCCCTCCCTGCTCCTGTGCCTTATACTGCACAGCCGGACTCGCTTACGGAGCGTCGTGAGCCTGCGTCTCGTCCTGCCTCGCCTGTTCGCGCTGCTCGCGCTGCTCGCACTGCGCGCACTGGTCCCACTGGTCGTCGTGTCGCGCGTCCGCGTCCTCCTCCTGTTC